AAAAAAAAACTGTACTTGCAGATAATATTGAAAATTATTAAATAAAAGGCCAATTAAGGGTGCCTAAAGATTGTACATTTTTATTTTCTATTCATTTGATTTTTTGACACACTTAAGTACTTTTAACATACATTTAAAACACTTTAGTACTTTTAAAAAAGTGCAATTTGTAGTAATGTAAATTAAATGTCCATTTTAAATCATTTTTTAAAATTATCTTTAGTCATGCTTTAAAGAAGTACAATTATTTGATTATAACATATGATGATATTATTTTAACAGTAGTATGTTGTTTGTTATTACATTTAAAGTTGATTCATTTTTAATGTACTAAACTGCAACTTCATCTTTATTGTGCAAATAGATGGCATATATTTTTAAAAGGAATTGCAATAAAGTATATTTCAGTTTAAAATAAATGCTTGTCAGTACATTTGCCATTACACTTTAACCATATTACAAAGACCATATAAGTAATTATGAGATTACTTATAAAGATACTTAAGTCCTACTTAAGTGAGTCAAAAAGCTAATTACATTTAATATAAATATAAACTAAGACACTTTAAATTTAAACTAATATATCTGTGTATTCTATCATTTCATTTAATTGCAATTATGGAATTTAGTGTTCGACAACATTACATTCAGTTCACACTTAATTTAAATCTTTTAAAGTATATTAAGTACTCGTATGCTAAAGTACTTTTCCAACGTTAAAAACCCTCAGTACAAAAAGTACACAAGCATGACGCCATTTTATACTGCTGTAAAGTTGCACTTTTTGCTTTTACTTTTTGCATTTTCTTTTCTGCTAGCATCACCAAATGAAATGCTAAATCCCCATTCATCTCAATGGCAGTTGTTTGGCTAGTTTTAGTTCAAGAGTTTTAGTTAGCTTTGCTTGTGTCTCTAGATTCATTAACACACATCTCAGTGTGTGGTCTGTTGACAACACCTAAGCTCGGCCCAGGTGCCACCATGAATGATTCATAAAGACACAGAGGGCTCAACAGAAGGTGTGGATGAGGGTTGCTTTAGCGCTGTGGACATCTGTTACTGCTGGTAGGACAGAGACTTACGCTGTTGGCATAAGGGATGTGCTTGACCCCTGCAATGCTAACACTGTGCTAGCATGGTCCATACATACTGAATATTCATACACTCAAATCATTCACTAAGTGC